CAGTCATCCCGTTCAGGTCACGTGGGTACCATCTGCCCGTGTGGGTGTTCTTGTGCACATGCCCTCTCTTCCCATCAGCCGGCAGCTCCATTCTCCACTTGAGTCCTCCGTGGCCACGCCACTGACTCTGGGCCCAGGATCAAATGACTTTCTCTTGGTCTGTGTACCAGTTCTCTTGATCACAATGAAGTAGTCTGGAATTCCCATTGTTGCCAGTGTTATCCGTAGTTTGGCCGTATGCCTTTGCATAGTCAATAAAACACAAGTAAACATCCTGGCAGTGCCTGGACCAATGAAAAGTAATATTGGGAACACAGTAGCTCCATACAATAAACACTGGACTACGAACCACAAAGCCAGCGGGTTGATCTCACCAGCCACTTTGCATGTGGAGGTTTATCTGCTCCACAAAGATTTAGTCTCAAAAACCCTATACAGGCTCGCTATAAGGCTGAAGTGACTTGATGGCACTTAACAACAACAATAAACGTCTTTCAAGGATTCTCTGCTTTCAGCCAATGCTCACCTGACACTAACCCTCTTTCCACGTCCTTTTCTGAATATCTGCCTATGTTGTTTTATATTTTTCCTGTAGGTCTTTCTTTGAAGAAGTATCTTCTGTTCTTCTAGCCACTCCAGGTTGATCTGCTTGTCCTTTCAAGTGAGAATTTCCCATCTCTGGAGATCTGGATGTGGTTCAGGTTTCCACCTATAGTCTTCTGTATTGCAGAGGCGCCGCAGGAAGCCTCCTTCACTGGGCATGTTGTAGCCCCATTTTAGGTATTCCAATCAGTTATAGGCAGAAGATGGACTTACAAGCTTTCTATGGTGATGCTTTTGGCTATTGAGGCTTGTAAATCTTTACGGGAGCAGAAAGCCTCATCTTTTCCCACAGAACAACTGGTAGTTTCGAACTGTTGACATTGAGGTTAGCAGCCCTACTCGTAAACCCTATGTTACCAGAGCTCTTGTGTTAATTTTAGTAATTGCTTACCCTTTCTGTTCCCATCTGTGAAATGAGTGGTGGAGAGTTAAAATATCCAGAGCTGAGTCTTGACTTAGCTGGTGGTTTGTGAGTGTGAGCTGTTCTTAGGACTGCAAATCCACATTCTCTTCCTACCTCTCAGCCTCCACATGCTGGAGCCTTCATCCAGAAAACTTGTCCCCTATCACTTCTCTTAGTTTCCTTACTCATTTCCTGCGATGCTAGCTTACGTGGGACTTCCTTAGGGAACCCTCCCTTGAAACACTGAGCCCCACAGCCTTGATCAGCATCCACAGACCTGTATGTAGTTTGATTATATTTTTTCCTTCATGGTGTTTATCACAGTTGTGCATTTAGTTGTGTTATTTTTTTTCAAGGTTTTTATGATGGATTGAATGCAAGTTTACAGGGCAGACCATCAGTTTTATATTCAACAAATCATACACCTTGTATCATTACAGTGAATACAATCCCCTCCATGTACCATCAGTTAACAGTATTTCTCTCTATTCACTTTAGCACTTTAAAAAACAACAACAAAAAATAACAACACTCAGGCATATATAATAATTTACACCACCAAAGGGTATAGTCTGCAAGTCTGCCTCCTGGCTGCCATCTCTTAGTCCCTCTCTTCCCATGAATCTAGAGTCCTCAGCCGCTCCCTCTCTTCATGTCCCCATCTCTGCCTTCATCTCTGGTATCAACTGCTTCTCTGGATAAGGTCTCACATTCCGCTTGTGCTCTTCTCCCTAGATGGTCCTAGGGTCTTTTGATTCTGGACTATAAAATTAACTACTCCTCCGTTTTTGTTTAAAAACTTCTACCTTTACAATTGTGACAGTCTCAATTAGTCATGGTAATAATTACTCACTATTGAATCATGGGAATCTTATCCCCATCTCTTTTAACCAGACTCATCTAGACAAGATGAAAACTATTCAGTGGGGACTCTTTCTTCCCCCCCACACTATTAAACTAAACTTCCCCTTGAAATCTTGTAAGCCAGTCACTTCATGCCTTTATCGCCCCTTCATTTTAGGTAGCCAATATCTAAGTTGTCCATCTCTATCTGCCCTGTGTATAGAGGGGGTAGCATTGATACTTGATGTGACGACTCCTTCCCTCTCTGTTGGTATTTAGGTTACTACCCCCATGAGTATAGGTCAAATTCATCAAATTGTAGCAATTTGCCCTCATTTCCTTTATAGAAAATTATTTTGTTCTTTTCTTTCTTTCTTTTTTTTATCTTCCTCTAGTCGAGTTCTGATTATCAAGGCTAGGTCAAATGGGTACTATCTGCAAGTTTCAGTGTTCTTGTACACCTCCTCTCACTTGATATCAGCTGGATGCTTCACTCTCAGCTCTAGCCCTCCATGGCTCTGTCCTTGTCCATGGGCTCAGGAGTCCCAGGTCTTACCACACTTTGGACCAACCACCCCTTCCTCTTCTCTCTCTCATCTCCAGGTCAATGGGAGTCAATGGACTGTGGTTTAACTCAGCCCATTTCTTCACTGCTGCCTTTCCTCCTCTTCCACTCACCAGTAGACCAACATGGTTTCCAGAAAACTTACATGCTGGCTCACGTGTTTCCTTTGAGTTTCAGTCTTAGAAAGGAGTTTGTCCTGAAGGAACTTGATTGCTTGCCTTGATGGCTTCCTGGTGAACAACTTTCTTATTCTTGTAGTAGCCAGTTATACTGCCATTTTTGTTTTGAGTTTTTCCTGATGATCTTTCTTTGAAGATGTATCTTCTGTCATTCTAGCTATTCCAGGCTGGTCTTCTTGTCCTTTCTAGTGGGTTGTTGTTAGTTGTGTTATATTTTGATAAATAATGTTAACCTCTCCATAGGTGAGGACTAGAGTGAGGACATCAGGGTGAGGACTGGGCTGGTTTCTGCTCATTGTATTCCCAGAGTCCAGCACAGAGCTCAATCCCTATTTACTGGTGAGTGAATGGAGGTGCTAGGGTTGGCTAAACAGATCTGAGTCTCCCTGAATTTCCATCTGTTTCTCCTACACAGGGCTGGTCAAGTTTCAGGTCCTTGGATCAGGGTCAGGTCCTGAGTCTTTCATGGTTAAGACATAATATACTCACATTTGAGGGCAATGTGTTGATAAGTGGAGGAAGAACTAGACATGAGGCAGAGGGTAGTTTGAGAGGATAGTTTATTTGCCGTATTTGGTTTCATTAAAATAGTTATCTATACTTACTAAGAAAATTTAGATGACAGAAATGAACAGGAAAAACAAAACAAAAAACCCTAGTAACTTTTCTCCCTCGACAATCCTAGGGGAAATTATTACTCAACTAACATGCTGTATTAAAAGAAAGAAGGTTAACACTCCCCTTGGCAAGGATGGATGAGGCCCTTGGACCTTACAACATGGTTATGGATAAGGCACTGCCACCTACTTTGTGGCATCTCTCCATGGTTTTGGAGACCTGGTGTGGTGCTGTGGGATAAAGCACTGAACTTCAAGGTAGCTTTGAACCATAAGTTCAGCGGTTCAAACTCACCAATCGCTCCTTGGAAACCCTATATAGGGTTGCTATGAGTAGGAGTCGACTCAATGGCACTTAACAACAACAACAATTAACATTTAGCTGTACAGCCTTCCAGTCTTTTATCCAGCTATAGTCAGGTTTTTTTCCCCTATTAACCAGAGTTGTGGTTCTCCAGTATGTGTATAGTATTTCTCATATGATTTGAAGAATTAATATAGTTTATGCTTTTCCCAAGAGATAAAAAATTCCCCTAGAATATTTTTAAGGGTCACATGTTAATTAACAATTTAGTTAAATCATTCCCCTCCCCCCTTTTTTCAAAGTTTTAAACAATGGTGCAGTGAAAAGCTTTATGCCTCCTATATGTTCTGCATCTTGAATCCTTTATCTGTAATTGTTTCCTAAAATGGGTGCTTTCAAGGAGCATTGTGGCTATACTTCTTCCAACACAGACTTGTTCGTTCTCTTGGCAGTCCATGCTAAAGGGTATGAGCACAGTCCTGGATGATATTACCAAATGGCACTATCAAACAGACCCAGCTGTTACACTCCTACTAATGATGAATAAGACTTCAAGTGTCAGCAGTTACAGTGGACTGCCCATTGGCGGGACAGGAGGGAGGTCTTAGTAGGTAAGACCAGTGGGCACATGCTCAACATGCCTCAAGATAGAGGCGATATCAAGCCAACAAGTATTTTCTAGACTATATGTGGTCATGAACTCTGGGTCAGGAATTTTCTTCTGCTTATTCCAGGACCATACACTGATTCTGGAGATGCCCATGTGGGAGCTGAAAGTCTTGATGGCCATAGGCTCGGGAGGCTGATGCTTCATGCAGGGGTCCAACCAGTGATCCCACCAGTTCCTCTTGGAAACTTCTGAGGCCTTCCTCAGGTTGCACCTCATCTCTCCCACTCTTGATGCCTCAATTTACTCCTTTGAATCTTTCCAGAAACCGTCTTTGGCAATTCTGAAACAAAGGCCACCTAGTGACCAAAAAAGGAAAACCCTGAAATGATCATTTCTGATAAAAACTTGTTTTGGGAAGAATCAGATCCCTCTGCCACCTCACTAGAAAGACTCTACAATGTATGATTATCTCCATATAACAACCATCACAACACTAAAGCTTGGAGGACATGACCTTGCCAACAGAAGTTCTGCACCAACCTCTTAAATCTGATTTAAGGGTCACTTCCAGGCAGGGTCCAGGAAGAGAAAGCGAGGATTATATGTATCTCCACCTCCTCAGTGACTGACTGACACAGGGTCTTGGCTTGGTACCTAGGTGGTATGAGCAGATTTGTTTTCCCATTTTCTTATGCCGGATATTTACCTTCCTGGGATACTTGTATGGAGCTGTCAGCCTTTTCACGTGCTCCTGGAGTTCCTGGGTTAGTTCCTTCTGATCCCAAGAGGAGTAGGCTGGAGAAAGGACTATAAATGCCTTTACGACCTTCAGCAGCAGAATAGAAAAGGACAGAAGGATCAGACCTTGTAGGATAAAGCTTTCCCCCTGAAGCTAGATTTACTAGTTCCACAGGAACGTTCTATCTGTTCTTCAGGCCCAATGAATGAAATGAAAAACATGCATTTCTCTGTTGCTTGACTTTCCAGGTTCAATGATAGCTTTTGAGGAATGATACTAGCTCTTTATCTAGTTCACAAACTATTCCCCACACCTGAAATGATACCATGCCTCTCTTAAAATGTAAACCCTTTGAAGAGCGGAACTTCACCAATTCCTTAGGAACAATTATTTCAGATTTGTCTGATGAGGAAAGCAGACAGGCATGGTTTACAAAAGGAAGGATGGAAAAACAAAAACACAAACTCAGACCACTTGCAAGGTGAAGTGGGCCTTTCTGGCACTGAGTACAGGAATGTTTGCAATCTGTAAACATTAATTGGTACCATTTGTATTCCAGGCACTCTGAGAGACATTCTGCATCTTGGCTCTTTCTGGCTTCTCCTTTCCTGAAGACTGCTTCCTGCCTGCCAACAAGGGGAAAGAGTCTCAAAGTCAGCTTCTGGTAAGTTCTTGTAAGAATATTGATGGTGCCTTTAATTCTCACTGAGTCACTTTCAACTCATAGAACCCTTGTACAACGGAACGAAACACTGCTTTGTCTTGTAATCCTCACAGCTGCTCCCTTTGGACCATTGTTGCTGCCACTATGTTAATCCATCTCATTGAGGGGCTTCCTCTTTTTCACAGACCCGCCACTTTTCCAAGCATGATGTTCTTCTCCAGGCACTGGTCCTTCCTGATTTTATGCCCAAAGTATGAGAGTTAAAGTCTGGCTTCCAAGAAGCATTCTGGCTGTACTTCTTCCAACATAAGTTTGTTTGTTCTTTTGACAGGCCATGGTATTTTTAATATTCTCCTCCAACACCATAACTCAAATGCATCAGTTCTTCTATGATCTTCCTTATTCATTGTCCAACTTTTCACATGCATGTGAGGTGATTGAAAATACCATGGCTTGGATCAGGCGCACCTTAGTCCTTAATCTGACACCTTTGTTTGTTAAGACTTTAAAGAGGTCTTTTGTAGCAGATTTGCCTAATGCAATGAGTTTGTTTGATTTCATGACCTCTACTTCCATGAATGTTGACTGGATTCAAGCAAAATGAAGTCTTGACAACATCAGTGTTTTTTCCCATTTATCATGATGTTATTTATTGGTCCAGTGGTGAGGATTTTTGTTTTACATTGAGGTGTAATTTTTGTTTTACACTGAGGTGTAATCCATATGGAGAGCTGTGGTCATTCATCTTCATCAGTAAGTATTTTAAGTCCTCTTTGCTTTCAACAAGCAAGGTAATATCATCTGCATATCGCAGGTTGTTAATGATTCTTCCCCCAATGCCGTGTTTTTTCATGTAGTTCATCTTCTCAGATTATTTGCTCAGCATACAGATTGAGCAAGTATGGTAAAAGGATACAACCCTGGCACACACCTTTCCTAAGTTTAAACTATTCAGTGTCCCTTGTTTTGTTTTAATGACTGCCTCTTGGTCTATGTACAAGTTCCTCATGAACACAATTAAGTGCTTGGAATACCCATTCTTCCCATTGCTATCCATAATTTGCTATAATAAAGCACAAAGAAATATCTTCTGGTATTCTCTGCTTTCAGCCAAGACCCATCTGAAATTAGCAGTGATATCTCCATTTCCAAATCCTCTTCTGAATCTAGCCTTTGTTTCTGTCAGTTCCTGTTGCAGATAATTAAAAATTATATTCAGCAAAATGTTACTTCTGTGTGATATAAATGATATTATTTGATGATTTCCACAGTCTGTTGGGTCACCTCTTTTGGGAATGGGCACAAATATGGGTCTCTTCCAATCAGTTGGCCAGGTAGCTGTCTTCTGAATTTCTTGGCAGAGATGAGTGAGTGCCTCCTGTGCTGTCCCAGTTTGTTGAAAGATTTCCATTTGTATTCAGTCAATTCCTGAACCTTGTCTTTCACTAAGGCCTTCAGTGCAGCTTGGCCTTCTTGATTATATGTTATCTTTGAAATGGCTAAACATTGAGCATCTCTTTTTGGTACAGTGACTCTGTGTATTCCTTCCATCTTCTTTTGATGCTTCGTTCATCATTCAATATTTTGCCCATATTCTTATGAGACTGGAAGGTCTCTTGGCCAGCCTCTCAGGCTAACAAACCACACCAGCATACAACTCTGTTAACAATGTGTCCTGGTCCATGGTCACTTCAGTGTCTTTTCATGCCTCCCAAGATGAGAATCTCGTTATCATTTCATATCCAGAAGATCTGTTACCATTTTAACTAAACATTCTCTGTGTGATATTCTTTTGTAAGCACTACATATGGATTGACTTTGAGTATGTCAAAGCCCCAGTTACTTTGTGACATGCAGAACTAGGTATAATTCTCCACTTATAATTTGTATAATGCAGATAGGACTCTCATCTCTCTCGTTCTATATTGTTGTGTTGTTAAGTGCCATTGAGTTGGTTCTGACTCATAGCAACTTTGTATAGGGTTTCCAAGGAGCAGCTGGTGGGTTTGAACTGCCAAAATTATGGTTCGTAGTCCATTGCTGACCCTATAGTGCCACATCAGGAGTCCACATTCTACTTTGTTGTTGTTGTTAAGTGCCTTCGGGTCAGTACTAACTCATAGTGACCCTGTATAGGGTTTCCAAGGAGTGGCTGGTGAGCTTGAACCATTGACCTCACGGTTCAAACCAACCTTGCAGTCCAGCACATTAACCCACAGCACCACACCAAGACTCTTTAGTGGCCATCAAAGTCACTTGGCAGTGGTGGTGGATGGTGGTGGGAAGTGCTGGTCACAGTACAGATTTCCAGGCTGGAGCCCCAGTCACTCTGGTTCAGAACGTCTAACTTGAGTCCTGGAAATCTGTATTTAAACCAGAACCCAGGATGATGCAGCTGTGGGGAAGTCCTATGTCATGTTTCGAGAATCACTTCTGTGGACACACTGCTTCTACGGAGGCAGCTTGGTGTGGGAAGACCTTTTTAAAGGTAACCACATGAGACTTTGGCATCATACTGGATTGATAGCCAATGAAAAGTACATAGGCTCTAGGCTGGCTTCTCCTGTTCTGGGACCCACAGGAAAGAGTTCACACTTCTCCTGTGAAAGGCCAGTTTATTAACTTTGGCGCATCTTTCTGGTATGTCACGATCACTTTGGATACTTATTTGGTCATCCCTCAAATTGGCTAAGAGCCCGCAGGAACTGTGGCTGGCATGCTGCCCATGGCCTCACCTGCAAGAGGGAAACGGCCTTCTATTGAACGGGACGACGACAGAGTTTGTACTTGCTGCCCAGATCTCCTGCCCTACAGCCAGCCTCTTCCAGATCCAGCTCTGGATCCACTGAACTCCAAAGTCTCAGTGTCTGCCAATTCTGTCCCTCCCAAGAGTGTTTGTATCTCCAAAGATATGAGGCTAATGCATAAGCAATAGGGCTGTGTGTCTGAGGGTACCATTTCCCACTTCATGGTACCTGAGTGGAGGTGAGCTATTGGGGAATCTGTACCTGCCTCTTGCTAGTGGGTATAGAACCATGAGGGCTGCTGTTGGCTGCACTAGTTACCTCTCCCCTGATAGGGTCAGGACTGCTGACCACAGCGGCCTCCAGGACAGCCTGGTGCTCAGCAAGGGCACTCTCTACTTCCACAGGACCAATCCGGTAGCTAGAAGAAAAAACAATTTCTTCTAGTTCCCCCTCCCACCACCCACAAGTCTCCAGAGGAAGGGAGAAAGAGCAGAGAGGTTGACCCTGAAGAATTGATCACGTCATCATTTCTTCCTTTGAACCAAAAGTATCCATCCTCGTCCATGTGGGCTCGGTCCCCAGTGATGTAAAAGTTCCCTCTTTCGGAGGCAGCTGTCTTTTCAGGATTGTCCTAAAAGGCAAAGAAATTCCAGGAAGGGTCATCTGAGCAAAGCCATTCAGGCCAAGAATTGACTAAGTCAACCAGAAACAGTCCTCTCCAGAAAGTCCAGCATTTCCCAAAGTCCCAGCTGGCCAGAATTCCCCCTTGGGTATGGGACACCAGTGACTAGGTGAATTTGTTTCTCTCCCCTACTTTAATTGGAAGAAAGCTGCTGGAGAAATAACTACAGGATTCACGAACTAGCATCTCTCCAAAGGATCCAAGAAGCAGAGATGAATGAGAGAAAGTGGGCACAGGATTTCTGGCCCTGTTTCTTGGCTAAAAGGACACACTGAGACTCTTCACTGTCTGAAATCACTAAAGATAGAAAGGAAGGGGAGAGCTCAAAAACCCATTGTTGTGAGGAGGGAAGAATAAAACATCAAACTCTGATTTCTAAAGGATTCACAAACATTAGCCAAGGTGAGTGTAAGGGAGAAGAAATGATTGGATTCTAAAAGAAATTAGGACTAGAAGCTCAGCGCACAAACCCTGCCAGCAAAGCTACAGCCACATGACACTCAAAAACAATCCTAAGAACTCGGTAGGCTCTAGCAGAGAACTGTGGTTTGACCTTTGATAAGTCACTTTTCTTCTCTTATTATGTGAATCTCAATTTTCTCATTATTGAAGTACTACAGTTGTCTTCGTTTGTCATGTTTGTACTCTCAGATACCAAAACCCAACTCACGGTGACCCCGTGTGCTATAGAGAACGCCACAGGGAAGCAGACCCGTGACACTGCTGGGCAATTTTGAACCACTAACCTTTATGTTGGAGTCCTAGGTGGTGCTGTGGGTTAACACGCTGGACTGCAAGGCCGATTTGAACCACAAGGTCGGCAGTTCAAGCTCACCAGCTGCTCACTGGAAAGTCTATACAGGTTATTTGTTGTTGTCGTTAAGCGCCATTGAGTCCGTTCCAATGCATAGTGACCCTATATAGGGTTTCCAAGGTTTCAGATCTTTGCAGGAGCAGAAAGTTTCATCTTTGTCTGGTGGAGTGGCTGGTAGGCTCAAACTGCAGACCTTGTGGTTTGAATTCCAGTGCTTATCGGATGGAGCCACCACATTCTCCATTTAAGTTTTAGTTGTTGTTAAGTGCCACTGAGTTGGTTCCAACTCATAGAGACCCTGTATAGGGTTTCTGAGCAGCAGCTAGTGAATTTGAACTGCTAACTTTGCAGTTCAAACCAACCTTGCAGTTCAGTGCATTAGCCTATGGTGCCACACCAGGACTCATTTAAGTTATTTAACGAGTATAAACAATTTGCACCACCAGATACCCTCTCAGACATCCAGGTTTAAATCCTGCTTACTGCAGATACTAGTTGTGTGACATTGGATAAGTCACTTTATATCTTTCTGACTTCCTTTTCCTTATGTAGTTACTGTAAGGAGGTTTATAAAGTGTGGCATGCAGTCTTCGCACACAGTCATGTGTCTGAGAATGGCCATTACCTGCCGCTTACCAAATAGCAATTGAAGAAACAGAAGGGCCGGCTGGGTCTGATACGAACCGCAACATCCCCCTCTTCTCCTGGAGGCAGGACATTGCCCTTGTCATCCACAATCTGGCAGAAAGATCATGGAGGGAGAGTGTCTGGAAGTCTGTACAGTCAGGCCATCCCATCAGCTGAGCCTGGTGTGGTGAACCCAGGGGCATGTGACGTACTTTTGTTCAAAACAAGCCTTGCCGCTACTATCTGGGAGACGCTGCCTACCTGCACGTCGTAAGGTGGAGATGCTTTCCCCATGGATCCAGATTTGATTTCCATGCCTTTTGTATTGGCACAGATGACAACCTGGAGAGAAACAATACCGATTAGGAGGAGCTCTACTCCCTCCGTTCCCAGGCCTGCTGCTCTGGGCTTGCCTCCTACTCTTCTCTCTCCCGCTTGTCTTTTGTCCTTAACTCCCTTCTTTTCCTTTCCTCTCTTCCCTCTTTTTGCCTTTCCTCCTTTTTTAACTTTCTTTCCAACTGTCTTCCTTCCCTTGCCCCTCCCATTCTCTCTCCCTCTTCCTTCCACTATCTTCGCCCTCTTTCCTTTCATTGACTTCCTCATTCCTTTCTCTCTTCTTTTTCTCATTCCTTACTTTTTTCTCATCCTTCTCTTTTTCTTTCCACAATCAACAAACATTTATTGAGGACTCTGATGAGGGCAGGAGATGGGAAGAGAGTTCTGGTGTGGAATTATAGAATAAACACTGGACTTCTACCTGCAAAATTGGAGGTTCAAACCCACCAGCCACTCCTTGGAAACCCTAGACAGGGTTGCTATAAGTTGGAACCAACTCAACGGCACTTAACAACAATAGGGATGAGGGCGCCCACAAGTAACAAACTTAGCTTGTCATTAAGCCAAAGACTCAGCTGATCCTCAGATCTCTACCTGGATGGCTGCGGGGTACCCTGTTAGGACTCTGGCCACAGACAGACATCATCTGTTCCACTGGAGATAAATAGCCCCCTGGACCAAGAGAGTTGGTTTGCAGGCAATGATGTATTTTTGTGAAAAAAGCAATGATAGGCTTTAGGCTTCATGACTTTCCAATCCCATACCTTCAACTGTTCTCCGAGGGGCCCCTCTCCTGGCAGCATATACCCATGTTCTCTACCTCAAATCTTGGGAGGCTCTGAAGTGTAACCAATTCAGAGACAGCGAACTCCTGAACTTTTCAGGCTTTCATTTCTCAAGAATATTTTCATGTAGCAGCATATAGGACCTGCTGGGTAGCACATATGGTTAAGTGCTTGAGTATTAGCCACAAAGTTCAGGGTTCAAAGCCTCCCAGAGGGCCTAACAATCTGCTTCTGAAAAATGGCAGCCTTGAAAAGCCTATGGAGCACAGCTCTACTCTAAGAACATGGGGTCACCATGACTCAGAGTGGACTCGATGGCAACTGGGAACAATGTTGTTGTTGTTAAGTGCCATCCAGTCAGTTCCAACTCATAGCAGCCCTGTGTGGGGCTCCTGAGGAGCAGCTGGTGAGTTTAAACCACTGACCTGGTGGTTCAAACCAACCTTAAGGTCCTGCGCTTCACCCTACAGCGTCACCCTAAGTGCCATCTTGTCCGCTCAGACTTTGAACTGACCTTGCAGTTCAAACCACTCTTGTGGTCCAGCGTGTTATCCCACAGTGCCATACCAGGACAATAGGGGGGTCTAAGATCTGTAATTTACTTCTTTAAATCAAAATGACAGAAGAACCAACAGCGTGTCCTCCTCACTTTCTCCCTGTGGGCGCTACCAGCTAGGGGGTTGTGCTTGCTGGCTGGCATCAGGTGGGGAGACCTGGGCAGGGTGCCTGGCCCCTCAGCACTTACTGTTTCTGATTGGCCGTAACCTTCATGCAGTTCCAGGCCTGTCTGGCTCTTCCACTTTTCCCTCACGTCAGGATTCAGGAACTCTCCTCCAGTCAAACAGTGTCTCAGACTCGGAAACTGGCATCTTTGGTGGTCGGGAAAATCAGGCCACCCACACCAAGATCCCCACCCTATCCTGTCCCCCAACACTGCTGCCCTGGCCCAGGTACCAGGCCCTCCACCAAGTATTAGAAGTACAGTGTCCATGTTTTATCATCTCTTCCCAAGGACAGATCACTTCAACAAAACCGGTCCTACATGAGGTTGCAATAAAAGTAGAACCTCATAATCAGCTTTAACAAGACATGGGTTGTTGTTAAATGATGTTGAGTCGATTCTGACCCATAGCGACCCTGTACAGGGTTTTCAAGGAGCAGCTGGTGTGCTTGAACCACCGTCCTTGCAGTTCAAACAGCTTTGCAGTCTGGTGCATTAGCTCACAGTGCCACACCAGGACTCCATGACATGTGTTAACCAAAGTAATTTAATTGGAAACAAATGATTTGTTTAAAAAAGTTATATAATTTACAAATTGGAAAGATGAAACATATCCGTTTAAAAAACCCCAAATTTGGACAAATGAACTCAGTAAAGATTCCAAGTATGTTGCAAAATTCCCCCTCAGTTCAACCAAATATCCGACATGTGGTAAAGCAGTGGTTACAAATACGTATTTAAACCCCCCCCCATTGGATCAAATTGGTCTAGCTAAATTACATAGCCCTGGTGTGGCACTGGAGGATAAGCACTGGATTGTTAACCTCAAGGTTGACTGTTCAAACCCATCAGTCGCTCTTCCAAGACCCCATACAGGGTCTCTATGAGTCAAAATTGACTCAACAACACACACCAACAACAGCCTTGAATAAATCACTCAGTGCCTGATTTTAGTCAAAATCATGATGTGGACATACAAAGGAACAGATCAATGAACGCTATGCATTTTTACTTTATAGAAGAATTCATCATGAGACTCACATAAGAACCCTATTTCTTGGCCCTTCTTAGTCAGATCTGTGTCAAGAGGGAAGATGGGCAAATGCCCCTGCCTTGGGAAAGGGTAGGAGATGAGTCAGCGATGAGCCTCGCTCCACAGACCCCAGAAACCAGTCATGTTTTTCCACCAGATGTTGCTTTGGCTTCACCCAGGATGGGAACCATGCACATTCTAGTCTCCTTCTCTTGGGTGCCCAATTCATATACCCTGAGAGTGGCTGGCTGGAGCTGGTCTAGGGCTGGAGAATCTGGGGGATGGAACCTCCACTGTCGTGGCTTGTTGGTCCCACAGACATTAGAGTTCAAGTTACAGGTCCCTTTCCATAGGTGGCTAATGATTATCCAATACTTTCTCCAGTTTCGTATAAGTCACAGACACTTTGCTGACGGGATGGCCCATGGATGTTTGCTGAGAAGACAACTCACTTCAAGCACTGAAATATCAGACTCCTTAAAATCTTGAATCTATTCAGTTCCAATCAGAAACTTGTCCTTAAGAGGTGCCCACAAGTGAATTTGATTGAGGTGTGGGTATGCCTGAATGTTTGTGTAGGAAATGTGTGTGTGTGAGAGAGAGAGAGAGAGTGAGGGAACGAGAGAGTAGATAGGCTGTGGGCACTGGGGCATATGTTCACATACTTAGGCCCCCAGAACACTAAATGGATGGACTGTACCTTGTCAAATCCTCTTGCACAAGCAGCCGAAAGATGGTGGGGACACAGCAGAGAGTAGTGATTGGAAACTGGGAGAGAGTCTAAGCAAAAACAAAGGTTGGAAGCTGGGTTTAGTGTCACTGAGGTGGCTTGGGTCTTTATGTTGTCTTCACCAGAGGAGAGGAACTGAGACCTCTGTGTGGTAGGCAGCGTCCAAATGACTCCTGATGACCCTTCTTCATGCTCTACATGTTCTTGTGGCAACCCCTCCCCCACTGTACCAAGGTTGATCTGTGTGACCAATAGCATACTGCAAGGTGATAGTCTGTCAAATCAGAGATTAGGTTATAAAAAGACTATGGCTACTGTTCTGGGTGCACACACTCTCTCTCCCTTGCTTGGTCAGCCATTCTGGGGAAAGCAAGTTTCCATGCTCTGATGTGCACAAGGTGAAGAGCAGCAGCCTCTGGTCATTGAGCTGTGGTCATTGAGCTCTGCTAAAACCCACATGGCTCCTGGGTTATGCACTCAACTATGAGCTGAAGGACTGGCATTTGAACCTATCCAGAGATGTCTTGGAAGACAGACTTGGCAATTTGCTTTTGAAAAGTCAGATCCTTGAAAATCCTACGGAGCCACCATGAGTCCAAATTGCCTCAACAATAAAAACCATATGAGTAACTTTTAAGGCAAATCTTCCAGCCCCTGGAGAATTTCAAGAGGCTGAAGCCATCACTTTAACTGCAACCTCATAAGAGACCATGAGCTAGAACCACTCAGCTAAGCTGCCCCTAGATTCCTGACCCTCAGGAACTATGAGACAATGGTTATTTGTTTCTTAAACTACTAAGTTGTAGGGTGATTTACTATATAGCAATAGATAACCAAGACACAGTGTCAGAGCTGGGGCAGTAGGAGAAGGAGGCGACACTGGCTGGGAAAGACCACACGAATAGTAATGTGAGTCTGATAACGAAGATATGTTAAGAATCTACTGGGTACCAGGCCCTATGCTAAGCACTTTATATACATTCTCATTTCATTCTCCAAACAACCCTATCAACAGAAACTATTGCTTTCTTACAGATAACGAAACAGAAGTTAGGTAACTTTCCCAGGGACACAAGTGGAAGATTCTAGCTCAGAAGCCAAGTCTTACTGATTGTACAGCCTGTACTACAAACTGTTATGTGGTCCAGCCTGTCTCAAAGCAAATAGTAGGGGCAGATTTAAGACATGGTGGTTAGAATGCAGAGGGCAGAAGTTCTCCCTCCCTGTGAGTCTTTACTGGGCATCAGTTCTCCCTCTCTGTGAGAAGACCCTGGGAGGCTGGTCAGGAGCTTTAGAGTGGACATTAGTGCATGACGTTGGAGAGAATAAGTTATGATTCTGCCCAAGGTTTTGAAAAATAAATATGGTTTTGATAGAAGCATAGTGGAGAATGGGAAAGGGGAGTGCCCTGTGGATAAGATATACAAAGGTTTGGAAGCATGAGATGTGTTATGTGTGGGGATCTAGCTAGAGCATAGGCAATGGTTATGGTAACCAGGTGAATAGGAACCAGATTATGGAAGATCCTGGGAGCACCAAACAAGCCTTCTAGGCAATGATTCCTGCCTTTTCTCTTGCAAACTTAAAATCTATTTCCCACTCATTTTCACCCAACACATGGTGGTTTTTGTCTCTTACATTCAGGATAACTTTGGCATTAACACGGGGTAGCTCATGGACAAAGATGCAAGACCCATTGGGCCAGGCAGAGAAGAGAGTCCAGGCCGCCTTCACCCAGCCAGTGTCTGTTGTGTTCCAGAAGATGTCTGATTCAGTCAGGGCCATCCACCGTCTGCCAGGAAATAAAATCAGCATCCTCAGCAACTCCTCTGTGTTTAAAAAGAATTCCACTCTCTCTACCATGTTAACTGAAGGCCTACTCAGAATAGGTGGACTCCCAGTGTGGTGTTGTAAGATATGCACTGGACTGCGAACCACAAAGTCAGCCGTTCAAACCTACCACCTCCTCAGAAACCCCATACAGGATCCCTAGGAGTTCAGACAGACTCAACAGCACTTGATAACAACAACCCAAATAGGTATTCACTTATCCTAATCAAATCTGGAAAAGTACCATAAAGTTAACCATTTGCCCAACAAACATTTTTGAGCATCTTCTAGGAACTTTGTCCTAGTCTCTGGGTACAGAATTTAAAGACAAACACCCTGATTTCAAGGAGTTTACAGCCTAGTGAGAATGATATGTAGGAAGCATTCATCTCAATAAAGTGAGATAAGTATACTCCATTTATTCAGGTACCAGTTAGTACCTGCTCTGAGTTTGATTCTGAATTTTAAATACCAGTTGAAATGTTTCAACACACTGATGCAGCACTGGAGGCGCTCACTTGTCTGTATCAAGAAAATTGAAAGACAACTACCTGGCCAACTGATAGGAAGAGATCCATATTTGTGCCTCTTCCTAAGAAATGTGAGCCAATGGAATGTGGATATTGTTGAACAATATCATGAATATCACATGCAAGCAAAATTTTGCTAAAGAGAATTCAAAACCAGTTGCAGCAGAACATGGACAGGAAGCTGCCAGAAATTCAAGCTGAATTCAGAAGAGGAGATGGAAGCAAAGTTGTTGCTGATGTCAGATGGATCTTGACTGAAAGCAGAGAATACCAGAAAGATAAACAACTTGTCTTTTATTTACTGTGCCAAGGCATTTGACCCATGTGGATCATAACAAACTATGGACAACACTGAGATGAATGGGTGTTCCAGAACACTTAATTGTGCTCATGAGGAACCTGTATGTAGAACAGAACAAGGGTAGACTGAATGGTTTAAAATCAAGAAAGGTGTGCATCAGGATTGTATAATTTCACCATACTTATTCAATCTTTATGCTGAGCAAATAATCCAAGAAGCTGGATTATATGAAGAAGAACATGGTGCCAGGATTGGAGGAAGATTTAACAACCTGCCATATACAAATGACACAACTCCACACCAGGACTCCTTCTGGAAGTGACGAGGACTTGAAATACTTAAAGATGAAGAACAGAGATGGATTCAGTATGGACTTCACCTCAATGTAAACAAAACTAAAATCCTCACAACTGGGCCAATAAATAATATCATGATAAATGGAGAAAAGATTGAAGTTATCAAAGACTTCAGTTTGCTTTGATCCACAGTCAACACTCATGGAAGCAGTTGTCAGGAAATCAAATGACATATTGTGTTAGGTACAGCTGTTTCAAAAGAGCTATTTAAAGTGTTAAAGAGCAAAGACATCACTTTGAGGACTAAGGTGCACCTGACACAAGACGGGGTATTTTCAATCTTCTTATATGCCTGTGGTAGTTGAACAACAAATAAGCATGACTGTAGAGAATCGATGCCTGTGAATTATGGTGTTGGACAAGAATAGTGAATGTACCATGAACTTCCAGAAGAACAAACAAATCTGTCTTGGAAGAAATGCCACCAGAATGCTCTTTAGGAATGAGGATGGTGAGACTTCGTCTCTCATACTTTGAACATGTTGTCAGGAGGGACCAGACCCAGGAGGGCATCTTGCTTGGAAAAGTGCAGGGTCAGTTAAAAAGAGGAAAACCCCCACAAGATGGACTGACATAGTGGCAGTAGCAGTGGGCTCAAAGGTCACAACAATTGTGGGTATCCTGTTGTGGGCAGGATCACTATTAGTTTGACCCAACTTAATGACACCAAACAACAGTAGCTGAGTTTGTCATTGGGGATACACAAATAAATAATTAGTCTTGCTTGAAAGAGCTTATAGTTCAATAAATATAAGCATCTGAAAAACAAAACAAAACAATGGCAAATAGAAATTGATTACAATTTTTTGGAATTCATTCCGTAATTCAATACTGCATCCCAAAGACATTTTAAATATCTCTTTTGTATTTCCCCAAAAGGAATTTGAATTCCCTAAATCTATATGGATATCAGAAGAGACTCTGAAACTTGCTCTGCAGCACAGAGATGCAAAAGCAAGTGGAAGAAAGGAGGAAGCGAAAAGGCTGAACAGAAAATTTCAAAGGTAGCTCAAGAAGACAAAGTCAAGTATTGTAATGAAATGTGCAAAGACCTGAAGTTAGAAAACCACAAGGGTGGAGCACGCTCAGCATTTCTCAAGCTGAAAGAACTGAAAAAAAAAAAAATCTAGTCTCCATTTGAAATATTGAAGGATTCTATGCGCAAAATATTAAATGATGCAGATAGTGCCATACGAAGCTGGAAGGAACACACAGAGTCACTGTACCAAAAAGAAATGGATGATTTCCAACCATTTCAAGAGAGCACACATGATCAAAAGTCAAGGTCCAAGGTGCATTGAAGGCATTGGCAAATAACAAGACTTTGGGAATTGATGGAATACAAACTGAAATCTTTCAACAAACTGATGCAACACTGGAGGTATTCACTCATCTATGCCAAGAAATTTGGAAGAAGCTCCCTGACCAACTGATCAGAAGAGGTCCAGAATTATGCCCATTTTAAAGAAGGCTGACTTAATGGAATGTGGAAATGATCAGACAATAAATACCATTAATATCACATGCAAGTAAAATTTTGCTAAAGTTAATTCAAAATTGCTCCAACAATTCATTGACAGGGAACTCAAAGGTTCAAACCAGATTCAGATGAGCATGTGGAATGAGGCATATACTTGCTTATGTCAATAGCTTCACATGCGTGTGAAAGTTGGACAGTGCATAAGGAAGACCACAGAAGAGTTGATGCATTTGAGTTATGGTGTTGGAGGAGAAGATTAAAAATACCACGGACTGCCAGAAGAACAAACAAATCTGTGTTGGAGGAAATACAGCCAGAAAGTTCCTTAGAAGCTAGCATGGTAAGACTTCATCTCTCATACTTCAGTCGTGTTATTAGAAGGACCCAGTTCCTGGAGAAGGACATCATGCCAGGTAAAGTGTAGGATCAGTGAAAATGAGGAAGATCCCCAATGAGATGGCAGTGGCAGCAGCAATGGGCTTGAGCTTAACAATGATTGTAAGGATGGCACAGGACTGGGCTGTGTTTTGTTCTGTTATACATAAGGTCACTATGAGTTGGAACTGACTCGATGGCACCTAGCAATAACGACATATATAATAAGTGTGTGTGGAGATAGATATCCTTTGAATTTGAGGGATAGCATGATAGATTGTAATAGTGATTTATGTTTGTATTAATGCCCATATGAATGTACACTGGCCACTTAAATTTTATATAATTAAAAAATGTAAAATTTGTGCTCCGTGAGTATTATGGCATTTCAGTAATGTTTTTAGGGACTGAAAATTTTCTCTTTTCACATTCAGAATAGAAGAAAAATAGTCTTCTACTGGTTTGGTGTTGTAGGATAAGCACTGTGGACTGTTAGCCATAAAATTGGCAGTTCAAACCCACCAGCTACTCCTTGGAAACCCTACACAGGGTTGCTATGACTGAGAACCAACTCAACAACACTTAACAACAACAACAGGAATTAACAGCTATCTGTTAAGTTTACTATTCCTAATAAGATACCAAAAAAGAATAGAAAAGAGAGGTTTTTGGGTGTTGGCCTGATGTTTTTTGTTCTAGTTACTTAACATCTTTTAGACAGCGAGGCGTTGTCTTTCATACTTTGGAAGTGTTATCAACAGGGACCAATCCCTGGAGAAGGACAATATACTTGGTTAAAGGGAGGGTTAGCAAAAAAGAGGAGGACCCCAACGAGATGGATTGGCATAGTGGCAGCAGCGATGGGCTCAAGCGTAGTAATTGTGAGAATGGTGCAGGACTGGGTGGTATTTCGTTCTTTTGTGCATTGGATCACTATGAGTCTGCACTTTTGTGCATTGGGTCACTATGGGTCACTCAAAGACACCTAAGGACAACAACAATCCAATAAATGTTTACAACCTCAGATTTCAAAAACTAAAAAATGCAAATCAGATCATGTTATTTCTTTGTTTAAAACCATCCCATGGCTTCTGGCCTCATTCAGAGTAAAAGCCACGCCTCCAGCATCCCACCTGAGTAGCATCTTTGTTAACTCTCTGACCACAAGTCCTAGCACTCTGTCCCCAGTCCCACTCCTCCAGTTCTCACTTGCTACTTTCTGGGTCTGAGACCTGCCAGGCCAGCTTCCCCCAAATACCTTCCACTAGCCACAAATCCCAGACTGTAGCTGCTCTGCAGATGTTCAACCATCTTGGGGGACCCAGTGGTACCACTGGTGAAGTAGACAGCCAGAGGATCTCTACTCTTGGTCCTCACGCAGTTGTGCTCTGTGGATGCTTCTCTGTAAAAAGTAAAATGACCAGTGATACCACCTGTAATAAAAATAGTAGCAGTCACCTTATGCGCCTTCCTCTCTTTCACTGATCCTCCACGTTACCAAGCATGATGTCCTTCTCCAGGGACTGGTCCCTCCTGATAATATGTCTGAAGTATGTATGAGAGACAAAGTCTGGACATCTTGGCTGCTTAGGAGCATTCTGGATGTGCTTCTTCCAACACAGATTTTTTTTTTTGTTCTTCTGGCGGTCCATAGTACTTTTAATATTCTCCTCCAACACCATAACACCATAACTCAAATGCATCAATCCTTCTGTGGTCGTAATTCATTGTCCAACTTTCACATGCATATGAGGTTATTGAAAATACTATCATAGTTTGGGTCAGGCACACCTTAGTCCTCAAACTGACCTCTTTGCTCTTGAACACTCTAAAGAGGTCTTGTGCAGCAGATTTGCCTAATGCAATATGTTGTTTGATTTCTTGACCACTGCTTTCATGAGTGTTGATGATTGATCTTTGTAAAATGAAGTCTTTGACAACATCAATCTTTTTTCCATTTATCTTGATGTTATTTATTATGGTCCACTTGTGAGGAGTTTTGTTTTCTTTACATTGAGATGCAGTCCATATTGAAGGTTGTGGTCTTTGATCTTCATCAGTAAGTATTTTAAGTCCTCTTCACTTTCAGCAAGCAAGGCTGCATCATCTGCATATTGTAGGTTGTTAACAAGTCTTCCTCCAGTCTCGATGCCACATTCTTCTTCATATAAATGCAGCTTCTAGGATTATTTGCTCAACATACAAGTATATTGAAAGAATACAACCCTGTATTCCACCTGAAAGGAGCTCTGGTAGCGTAGTGGTTACAAATTGGGCTGCAAACCTTAAGGTCAGCAGTTCAAAACTACCAGCTGTTCCGTGGGAGAAAGATGA